TGGATTTGTCAGCTTTTGCAACTATTGTTGGAAAGTAAATGTTCATTCCATTTGCCTAATTTTGTATTTTCCATTTTGGACAGTAGATTTGACTGAGGAATCCCTGTTGTTTTAACACAGACCTGGTTAGTTTAGCCAAAAATGCCAAGTTTCTGAGACAATAATGAGTTTATCCAGATGCATTCTTTTATATTTTTCCATGCTTTAAAAGAGATTTTTCAAAAGGGCTGAACTAAGTTTACTTCAGCGGCTTGCTTTCTCTTCTCTTGCGAAAGGTAAAAATAAGTTTACTGTAAACACAATTTTCTGGAACTAGCAAGACCACACAAAAACTGAATTAATGAAATATCATTAGTTTTGACTGAGTAGATAGAAAACTAAAGACAAAATATTTATTCAGTCTGGTGTGTTGGTTTATAAAACTGTATGATCTCTTTTGGAAACTTTGATACATTTGTATGCATTTTTTTCTGAAGTAACTCTCTATGCAAAAGATGGCAAATGAGAGAAATTATAATTTAAATCAGTAAAGTCACAAAGTTACACAAATCATCAAAATATCATCCTCAACAGTCACCATATATTAATATCTTTTAGAAATAGCTCAATGCGGGTTTTTTAGCTTGCAGCACTTAGAAATTAATCTGGGAATCATAAGAATCTTTCCAGTTTTCAGCAAGTAGAAGCCATTCTGTCCTTTTTTGAGCTGTCCCTATGTGAGAAGGGATTTGGAAAAATACCAGAGTAGCTGCTTTTTGGGTGTGGGGAATGACAGGCCTGTTTGGCAAAATGTTTAGAAAGTGGATATAGAAAACATAATTCACTTCAGACTCATTCTGAACCCACTCTTTAGTGGCAATAACAACCTTAGGAGACTTAAAACCACGAAGAGGGATCTAAGTTTGTAATTCTTGCAAATATTAAAGATTATTCTTCTGATTCAGTGTTTCTCAAGCTATTTTTAAATTCACTTGGTTGAGCCCTTTTCTTAAAGAAAAAAAAATCTAATCCTCATAGTCCCTGCCTCCTCAGCATTTGAAATAAGAGGTGCCTTCTATTCCAGGATATTAATAATTTTTCATATTAAAACCATTCCCCAGGTCTCTTAATTTTCTCTTTTCTCTTTCTGTGTCTTCCTGAGAAACATGTTAAAAACAAGACCTACTTCTGAAGAAAACTGTGGAGAGGATTTGATGACACATTGATCTTGCACTTTTTCTGAGGATACTGTAATTTAAATAGTTTTTTTTTCCTGAAATATTAGAAAAATAATATGAAAATTCAATAGCTAGGGGAAAGCACAAAAACCAATTGCATTGCTTCTAACACCTTCCAGTTCTGTAACTGCAGCATCCTTGCTCATTAATCCAAAACTTAAAATCCAAAACAAAAATCCAAAAACTTAACTCAGTAATGTTCTTTTAATAATGCTGCACTGTTTGGAGCAATGGCTGCTGGAAATCTGTTTTCCTACCAGGAAGCAGGGGTGAAAGAGTGAGTGGATTTTGTCTGCATTACTTATAGTATTAATTTGATGAATAATTCCCTCCTTTATGTCTCATTGCACTAGATTTATTTGCCACCCTTCGACACATCTTTCTGCAAGTGTTGCTGGCTCCAAGCAGAGCATGAAAGACATTGTTTTTCTTTTAATGAAACTGAAATGTGAAGCAATAGATGCAAAATAACTATAAGATATTAACATCAATTCGTATGTTTTACTACTCTGCTATTTCCATTACTACCCAGTCAGACTCTTGCTAAACAGAGGAGTTTGGCAAGTGCCAATCCTGTGTTTAGTATTAGATGTACAGGCTGGTAGGTGGTGGGAGCTGGAAAAAGTGTTAGGAACGAGGTTCCTACCACAGACAGTCTCCCTCTAAAAAGCAGGGGCAGGAGGAGTACAATTCTCACTTTCTCCCTCCTCACTTAGTCAGTGTTTTGGTGGCCTGCCTATGCTCTGGTTCCTGGAGTCTTTTATTTTCATTTTTTTCACAGCCCTGTCTATCTGATTCACCCCTCTGGCTTTCCTCTGGAAGCACATACAGGAACTCACAGACCACGAGTGCAGTCTCTTCTTGGATTTGCTAAGAGCACATGTTGACATAGGCTTCTCATTCACCCATTCTTGTATTACCCCTTTGTCAGATGTGTAGTGAATTACCCAAGTGAAAAATGCTACTGCTGCAGTTAGATATTGTGATGCAGTTCTATTTATTTATCTTTTTAAAACATGGAATGTCCTATTCACGCGCCCATTATTTCCTTCTTGTTCTTAAAGCCTCTTTCCATTATAATTCTTTCTGAAAACATTCTCTTCTTCTCAACTTCTTTTCTTCTCTGTGTGATTGAGCAGTGGGACATTCTTCTAATCTTGACAACTTCTTTACTTTTCCCCTAAAGTACAGCTCCATCTAAAAACACTTTCCATTGGTCTATATTTTGGTTTGGGTGTATAAAGAAACTTTGTACTAAGTCTTTTGGTGGGTTTTTTGGTGTTTTTTTTTGTTGTTGTGGTAGCGTTGTATTGGTTTTTGCCTTTCGGTGTGTTTTTTTTTTGTTGTTTTGTTTTGGTTTTGTTTGTCTTTTCTTTCTAAACATATCCAGAGATCAAATATGGATGTCTCCAAAAACTTTAAGGATTGGTGTACACACCATAACAACTCTTATTCCTTCCTGGTCTCTCATTACCTGAAACAGATGGTAGAGGAGAGCTGGACTCCTGCAAGATGTTTTCCCAGAGGAAGGCAATTGCCTTTAGTGACAGCTGGGCAAATGTCAATTTCTGACTCACAAGACACATATTTCATTAAAAAAAAAAAAAAAGGAAAATTCTTATTTGGAGGAAACACAGCTTCTCAGGCTTTCCTGCAGAATAAAAATGCTGGAACTTCTGTCCAGAATTCTAAAATCACCTTGTGAGTTTTTATAGTCCCACTTGGAGCCTTCCCAGATTCATCTATTTGTATATTCCCATATATAGCCTTACACAGAAAAGAAAAACTTACAGAAGGCCTTGAAAACTCCTCACTTATGCTGGAAACAAGCAGACAAACAAACAAAAAATCCCGCTATTCTGATAAGTAATAAAGAAGCAACAATAATTTCATGTTGAATATGGAAAACATGCTTGAGTTAACATGAGCTCTACTCCATACTCCAGAGTTTGTGGATGCTCTGGGCCCAGATCTCTTCTTGTCCCTGTGCTTAATTGGAACATTTAAAAGAAACAGGATTGTCCCACATCAATTTGAAATTTTAGAAAATCTGAATCTTTAGAAAACTGTTTTGAAGCTGGAATACAGCCTCTTACTCTGTGATTCTCTTCTGAAAATGAGGCCAAAATGTACTCCTTACTGTAGTGTATGAATGCATCTGAAATTACTGAAGCATGTTTCAGTACACACAGCTCAGCACATCAGTCCCAGGGCTTGTCTATGTGCCAGTCAAAGGTTCAAGTGTTTGCAATTACGTCTGTAGGCTTGGAACAAGGGATCTGGCACTGACTGCTCCCTACTTAGCCCAAATTAACATCACTGAACTCATTTAAGTCATTTTGGCTTCATACTTAAGAAAGTGGGGACAAAAGTTAGCCTAAAGTGTGATTTGATGCTGAGGCAATTTGATAATGAACATGTCTTCTTACTGATGTCCAGATATCTGAAAAAGCAGATCAAGTTCTGAAGAAATCTTTGTTCACTTATGTACCTTCACCCTCTGCTCCAGCTGGAACAGGGTGTGCACTGCAAACTTGGGCCAAAGAACTCATCTTGATCTTATGAGTTGTTTTATTATTTTAACTTATTGTAATAGTATCTTACACAATTGCTACATGTTATATTAATACATTACTAGTAATATATTAATATAATCAATATGTTTATTATTTATTTTTAAATTAAAAAATTGTTATACTATTTGGCCCTGCTGGGCTGATGGAAGAGATGTTACCAAAGTCAGGAGAAGTAGGATAACATACTTGGACAAAATGCAATGGTGGTAGAAAAAGCTAGAACCAGAAAAAGTAAATTATCTTTATTTGTACACACAGCAAGGCTTTAAATCACTTTAAGTAAAAGTGATGATTAAAATAAGTTTTTAAGAATAAAGTCCAGATGCCTCTGAAGTCATAAGGTCTTATGTTTATTTTTTCCTTACTGACTCCAGAAGAGAAAGAAATCCAAAAGAGTAGAAGAGCTTTCAAATAGACAGTAAATGAACTACTGAAGTGGAACAAGGACTAGCCATACATCAACAGAAATGGCTTCAGCACAGACAGTCTCCATCTAGATTAGAGAAGTGCTCAGCTGAGAAAGCCAAGAGAATTAAAGAATTAATAGATGGACAAAGACCAGACAGATCCTGAAATAAACTGTAATCAGACACATTTTTTATGTTAGAAATATAGCACAGGATTACCTGGTGTGATTTGCACAGCAGCACTGCAGCTAAGTGTGCTGCATGGCTGCATGCAGCAGTAGATGCTGGTCCGTGTGACATTACTCAAACTCTTACAATCAAATTGGAAGTGTAACAAATTCTTTCAGTGCCAGAGTTGCTGTGCAAAGGCAATATTAAATTTCACAACGTAGTTCATTTCCAGGCAATCCAGTAAATCAATATTTAATGAGCATATGGGGTATTATAATAAAGAATATATCTAAGCAATAGAAGTTCTTTGATTCAGCTTCTTCTTTAATGATTTTTGTAATACTAAAGTGGAAGGAAATTAACTTTTCACCATTCTCAGGTCTTCATTTCAGCTAAGAATCTCTAGGACACAAGATGCATCCAACATTCAGACCTACTAAACATTTTTTGGGCCAAACAAATGAGTTAGGCCATTTTTCCTCACTAACAGCTCAAACATCCTGCACTACATTTCACTTTTGTCCTTTCTTATATTCCTCTTACACCCAAATTCTTTAGATAATGGTCTTGTTTTTCCAGGCTGATTAGGACTGGTGGGCTCTACCTCGTTTCTTGATGACTGCATTAGTAGTGCTCAAGCAGCCTGGTTCTTCCTACACACTTCTTTCAAACCTGTGGGGAAAAAGCTAATGTGATAAAACAACAAATTACCACAGTAGAGGATGAGTGACCTTACAGAACAAATTCTGGCTTTTCTGCAAGCTTCAGAGCCTCGTGCATCCCTGCGGCTGAGAGTTTGCGGTTGATATTCCTGTATCTGCATTGCAGCAGGTTGCGATAGGTTGTCCTCAGGTCCCGGTTGAAGAAGGCATATATAAAAGGGTTAATGAGAGAGTTTGCATAGCCCAGCCATAGAAATGTTCTCTCCACCCAGAGTGGGATGCAGCTGCACGCTGTACCACAGATGAAGGGCCTTGCAGTCGAGAGGAGGAAAAAGGGCAGCCAGCAGACTGTGAAAGCCCCAACAATAATCCCAAGGGTGGTGGCAGCCTTCTGTTCTCTTTTGAAGATGGAAATGTTTTTCTTGTCATGCTTTAGGAGTCGTGAAAAATTAGTACATTCTTCAGATTCCTTGTGCAGTTTTACAAGTCCATTCACAGAAATCCCTTCCATTTCTTCCAGACGGGGGAAACCAGTGAACTTGTGTTTAGCAGCACTCCTCCTGGCAGCTTTATAAATCTGATAGTACATGAAAAGCATCACTGACATCGGAATGTAAAATGCAACTGCTGTGGAGTAAATGGTGTAGCCAAAGTCTTGACTGATGAGACAAACCTTTTCATCATTTACATTCTGGGCCCAGCCGAAGAGCGGGGGAATGGTGATAGAGGCAGATAAAAGCCAGACACACAGGATCATTTTGGCCATACACTTCCCATTCTGCCTTACAGGGTATGTAAGAGGTCTTGTTATTCCCAGGTACCTGCAAGGATAACACAGAGTTACTACAGAGGTTAACTGTTAAAAATTATCTCACGTAGTCTGCCCTCGACCAAAATCTTTGGCCAAGTTTTCTGCTTCATAATTTTCAGTCCTCTCTTTGCATGTATTTCCCAGCTTTAAGTCCATGTGTCTTTCATGTCAAAACTTATAGTGATAGTATGAGACATGAAAGGTCTTTTACTCCAGAAGGAAATCTCCCATTGGCCATAACAGGCTGTGATTTTTATGCATTTATTCAACCTTCACGCACATAAAAGCATATTTTGGCTTTTAAGAAAATTCTGAGACCTAAATTTTATTTTGCTACCTTAAGAAATCTTGGAGTGTAGAAGAATGCTCATCCCACAAAGTCTATCACTTTTTGTATTGAGTGGATGGTTATAACAAGCAAGCATTCATCTTCACTCTTCTTACATATGCAGCAATTAGGAGGAGCCCTGCCACTAAACTGAAATGATCTTTCTTTCCTTCATGTTTCAGGCAGGAACAACAAACTGTGAACTTATATCAAGAGTAGACTATTTCAGTACTAAAATAATTCTTTTAATCATCACTTAACTAGAAAGAAAAGATGTTTATTCACTATCCAAACTTTTACTGAAAAAATTAAAATCTGTCCCAGTTCAAGAAGACCTGAGGAAGAAAACAGTTTTATAGACAAGAAAAATGTTTATAATGGGTCAATTTTTCATAGAAAAAAAAAGGTCTGTTGACAACTTTTATGTTTCCTAATTTGTGGAATTTTAAACTAAGTATCTTTTTCTAATTACAAAGTATTACTACTGCCCTATATAGCTGGGTAAGGATATCCTAAGTTTGAATTTACTTTCAGCTATAGAACATTTCTGTATTTCCTCTCTAGCAGTGGGAATTTTCTTGCATGGAATTAGATGCATTTATTTAGACCTATGATTTTTAGTTTAGATTTTTAGTTTCAATTTTTGCTTCTGCTCAGCTGGAACTTACCTATGAGTTACTGTTAATATCTCAAATTGTTCTTTTTTACTTCCTCCAATATAATTTAGGGAAAATCAGTGTGATTTGTTTTGATACATGTAAAAGAAACTATTTCAAATCAAGTTTCTGAGTAATGTTTTGGTTTCAAAAGATAATGTTTCAAGAGATAATGTTTCAAGAGATAATCAGTGTTTAATCATATTGTGAAGGTTCTGGAGTGTCACAAACAAGAGCTATAGCAATGTGGTTCAAAATATTTTGGGGGAGCATGTTTTCTCTGTCTATTCACTTAGCACATCAAATACAAGATTTGCCTGGCTCTGTGGATTGGTGCATTGTTCATTTTACTGCAGTGCAGTAAATCATGGCCAGTGCTCTTGCTTTATAAAAGCACCTGGGTATAGCACAGTTATGAAAGTAAAAGAAACATGATTTAGTGATCTGTTCCAATGAGTATCAACAATCCTGTTCAAGCATGTCACTGGTTTTATACTGCTATTATGACAAGCATTACTCAAAGAACAAGTAAATTACAGCAGGTCAGTATTTTGCCAGTGAATCTGTGCCTGGAGGGGCCATGAACTGAGAATTCTTATGGGAATTGTCTGGGATCAGAGCAGTGCAATCCATGAACCACACTGTTAAAAAGGGCTGCTCCTTGTGCCCCTCACCATCAGCATTAGAATAAAGTCACTGGCCCAGCAGCCAAGGGCATCATGCAGAGACCAAGGAGGTTCCTGTTTTATAGCACCATGGCCAAAACCATTTTCACTCCCAAGGAGCTGAGTGTTCCAAGGTGCACCAAGACATGGAAGAGATAGTGCAGTGAAATTTCAGTTTTAACTAATTCCAGTATACATCACACAGCTTTAAGCAATGCAACTGCAGCAAGGGTGAGCTCTCAGCTGCAGACTTTTGGGGACAAGAGTGGCCTACCCTTAAAATTTGTCTGAGAATAGCCCGATTTAGGTACAAAACAGTTGAACTCATTCTTTGTGGGCAAAAACTTCTTGTCATTTACAATGTGCTGGTTTTAAAAAAATCCTTAAAAAGTTGTTCTGCCTTCCTGAAGAATGCACTTCTAAAGCTGTTACCTAACTGGCCACTAAAAATAACACACTTTTGAGGTGAACTTTATTATGTAGCTAAAAAAGTTAAGCTGGATTTCTGTAAAAATGAGATCTGTGGGCTGCATACTCTGAGTGCCTACTGATGCATTCTCATGCACCAGAATGTAACAAAAAGAATTCATGAAAGCATAAGTATCCTGAAAAGAATGAAAATTCATTAGTTTTGCCCTGGCATCACTTTTTTTGGAGTGTATCTTTTCTTCAGAAATGCTATTTGAAATTAAAATACGTTAATTAACATAAAAATACACCAGCATCCTTTCTGCCTTATTCATTTTGCTAAATGTAGTATGATAGGGAGAAAGAAGTCAGCAGGCCCAAATGAAGGAATGTTATCTTTTAATCTCTCTATATGAAACCCATTACCCTTGAAAACTCATTTGCAACATCAAAATAATGTAAATCACTACTGTTGTCTAATACACTAGAGAGTGTTCAGGGCTTAATAGATTCATGAACTTCAAAAATATTGTGTCAAATTCAGTGGGAAAATATGCTTTTTAATTCTTAATCTTAAACTAGTACTTTAATTAAAAATACTTAAGGTGAATCAGCTGAACTTAACATAATCAAGTGTAAGTAACACCTTGAGATCTTATTACAGGGAAAGAATGAAGTCAGAGTCCCTAAAAAGCCCATTTCATGTGTCTCAGCTATCCCCCACATGAAAGAAGTGTCTCAGACTTGTTATTCTGAGATTTGTTTCTTTCACATGCCACAGATGTTCATTTTGATCTTGGTGAAGAAACTGTGCTTCAGTTCTCACTTTTAAAAGAAGGGCATTGCTATTTTGTATTCTTCCTGCTCTGAATTTCTTCTTCAGACTCTGTGGTTCTGCCAGACAGGGCATCTCTCCATGTTACACCCAGCACAGTGAGGTCTGTATCTAGGTTATTCCCCAAAAGCAGATGAATGGGCTTTATTTCTTCTAAACTGGTCATGGTATTTTCCATTCAGCACTGCCTGATGCTGCATGCAGAGCACTGAAGTGCAGGATGCTGGACCAGTTGGGCAGCCCTGTGAGAGGCACAACACACACAGCAGTCATGTCCTGCTGCCATTCCAGGATGCTGGGTGAGTGTAAAACACTGACAAGGAAGAAAACGGCACTGCTGTCTAATGGATAGAGCAAAAAAGGATGATGTGAACGCTTTCCTACTGCATCACATATGTGGAAAACAGACCTTTGCTTAGAGAGCTCAAAGTAAACAGCAGAGACCAAGAAGATGGCAAATGGCGAAGGGCAGAGTAAACTTCTTGTTAAATGCATGTGTAAGAACACATGAGCACATCCCTGTTCTGAGCTGGTTTCTTATAATTTCTTCAGTCTCTTCTTCCCCACTGGGGAGTTTGGAAGCTGGTTCTTCTGCTGCTGTCCCACTCAGGTGTGAGGCACACAGTGTGCCCAGCTCTAGGGAGGAAAAATTACCCCATCTTCTTTCTTGAGCTCTGTTTAAATCTGGGATGGGGTAAAGAATTGCCTCCTTTCACCAGCCATTGTGCACAATTGCCATTTGCCTCACACAATGAACACCAACAATGGAAAAGGTAAACAAACAAATCCTTTCCTTTTGCTTTACAAAAATCTGATTCCCTGTGACATAGAATTCTTCCCCAGTATCTCTAAATGGTTAGCCTTTAATGACAAGAAATTGTTATAGAAAATTTAACATAAAACCATTTTAACTATATAAGTCTGCTCCTGAGATCATTTAGCTTGTGGGCTTTTTTCATTCTGGCTTCTCTGCCATCGTTCCTTTACAATGACTACACAGAATAGTTTTTATCATACAGGGCTAAAAAAAAATCTATTATCACTTTAACTGTAGATCACATAGGCACATGGGTCTAGTCCTCACACCTTTTGAAATATCCAGCAAACAACCTCAGACTTAACAACTACATTGACTTAAACAATGGAAAGAAAATAGTAACAGGATGGTCCAATTTGTGATCATGTGTCCTAAATCTTCCTTTCCTATCTCCATTATATGGCTAAAAGATAAAGAAAAAGAGTGAAAGAACTTGCCTGCCACTGTGAGCAAAGTCATAGAGAAATAGAAAACCATACAGTTAATAGAATTAAAATAATTTTGAAGCTTCCTGCCCAATTCAGTAATAAATTGAATGCATCATGACATCAGCATCACTTATGCAGATGTTGTACCACACGTGTAATTCTTTTATAGCCAGATAGAATTCCATTCTAGTTAGTCCACATTTATGTCTCAGAATTCACTGACTTGATCTAACAGATTCCAAAATCAAATTAGATCTTTCACTATCTGACTATGCTTTTATGAAGCAGATTGGATTGCTATGGAATAAGACTAGAAACATTATACTGGAAATGATACAGATATGTATTACAGCTATTTCTGCCAGGAATCATAACATACTGCTTTGTTATCACTTACCATTTGATTAGAGTTGTGCTTAATATGGGGTTCTGTCAGTTCTCCTACTGCTGTATTTTAAGAGTCATAAAACTGCTTTATTCTGAAGACACAACAGTGCTTTCTCCTTTGCTTCTCTGTTTCTCTAGCACAGAAACTTTCTGTCTTCAATATGTATCTCCATGCAGGATTTCTTTGCAAACCCACATCTATAGAATTCTGTTCTGTATTTCACCTCCAGTAATTAACTTATTCTGAAGAATTATGCTGATCTACTGGCTTTTCTTCATTGGCTATGATTCTCTCTTTCATAATTTTTTTCTATTTTGTTCAGCTCAACAATAAGAGACATTTCACAAGAACAGGAGCAAAATGCCATTCCTAAAATCTATCCAGCATTCAAAAATATTCTCTCTAGTATAGTAATGTATCTAGATAACTTTTCTTTTTCTTTTCCTTCAAATCTAAATGTAACAAGTTGAAACAAATACCAAATC